AAGAAACGCACGTCCGCTCTCTTCGAAAGCTCGTGAGGGACTCTGAGATCGTGATGTCTCTGATTTTTCTGCCGTAATTCCTGCACTTCTTGGCGAAGGCTGTAGATCAGCCGAGTCTGATCGGAAGAAGCAGCTTTTTGAGCCCAGGTTACTTTCCGAGGCGTCGGAGGTGTAGGCTGTGTGGCAGATGCCGTAGATGATGAATCATTAGTGTTGCGAGGAAGGGCTGATTCAGATATATTTTGTTCAGGACAGTGAAGGGCTGAGTGAAATGTGTGTGGACGCTCCACAAGCCACGCAATGAGAAAACTGCTATAGAGTTTGCGTCGACCTCATGCGAAGCATTGCCACAGTCCTGGCATACTGGCGGGAAAGAACAGTATTTGGCAACATGGCCCAAACGATAGCAGTTGTAGCATGCGACCGGGCGAGGCCGATATTCGTGAACACGGATGACTTCATATTCAAACACCAAGCATTCCGGTATGGAGTCTGTATCAAATTTCAAAAGCAGCAGCTGTGTTTTACCGAGCATGCGTACATCGGTGATTGTTGCCTGTTCACAGCGCAAATGCGCTTTGATGTACTCGATTGTTAGGCCGGGTCTGATCTTTATTACCCCACGAGAGCTGCCGACTGCATGTGGCTGAAGAGGCGATGTGTCGACATCAATCACTTGCACGGTACCATTGACAGTTGCCACTAAGAGCGAGAAAGTGCATAGTTTGGGAAAATGACCTTCGTAACAAAGTGTGATCGGTATGCATTAACTGGTTGTGCGAAAGCGGGGAATTGACATTTCTGCAATTAAAGTTGACGAAGCGTTTTGCTCTATGGTGTCTGTAAGGGCTTGTTTCAGAATGTCTGTCACATGCACTTTGTTTAGCTGCCTGATGAAAACAGTATAGCGGGGCCGACTCACTTGTTTGCCGTGCAGTCTGTTCAGTGACACCTGGTGTTGGTAGTACACGGCATTTTTCTTGTCGAGAGTTGTCGAGAAGTTCGGTGGTGCCGGTGGAAGAGCCCGCTGCCATGTCGTTGACACAAGGTCGGGTAAACGATTCTGACGACAGCGTAGACTGTGATGCATCCATTGTCTCGTTTTTGTCAGATAGCGTTGGGAAATTGTTTGAGTTCACAGGAATGCTTGTGAATGCCGTAGTTGTTTTCATAGTAAGAGTCTTGAGATTTGGAGTGAAACGCGCTAGGCGTAACAGGTTCACCAGGCATGGCACGGCCGCGTGGACGCAGTGCGAACACGGTCGCTGGCAGCTAAGCCCTAGGCTAGTCCCCTATCGAAAGAGTTGACATTCGTTCTGTCCCTAGTATACATGCCACCCCCGCCACCACCATCGCCGCTTGAGAATTCATACCATTTTGCCCGTTTCATGAGCACTGAAGTTCATACCGAGTTCTAAAATGCATGCAAAGGACTGAAAAAAAAAAAACTGCTTACATCAATAGCAAACGTTGTTTCAGAAAATACGCCAGTGCTGCAGAAATGACACGAGCAGACCTAGCAGCGGCTGCTCGCTGCTGCTGCACCTTCTTCTACTTACGGTGTTCGTATCGATCGTAATCCAAACCAGGCTGTCAGTGAAGGAGTCCCTGTCAAGGCCATGAGCTTTGACGCGTTGTACGGGTAGTCCGCGAATAGCACTGATGCGATCCACCGCCAATGCCTTTGCCACCGTGTTCAATTAGCGGCTGGTTGTTTACATCACGTGGCTTGAGAAACAGAGCAGATGGTAAAGCCAAAACCGTGAAGCAAAAAGGCGATATGCTATCGCGTCGCGGAAAATTTGGTCTCAGACTGATTTTTCCACGTCGGCCTCGCGGTGTGTTTTTTGGCTACTAATACAAAAAAAATTCTGGCAAGTTTTCTTGCATTCACTCCCTTCGAGGCCAAGAGTGAACAGGCCTTCCTTCCACAGACAAACCGCATTGCTCCGCTGGCGTGGTGCAGTAAATCGCACCTTCGTATCATCCAAGTTGGCTGGGGAAACCGTTCGCATAACACCCAATCACGATGTACAGTCGAGCCCACAGGCCCCACTTAAAATGAAGTTTCGCTTGCACGAGCAACATCCGCATGACCATGAAAATATACATTGTTTCAATGACACAAAATCGCACTCACAACGAAGGTCTCAGAGATCCGCCGATTGATTACAGCGAACAGGGTTGTCACTCTGCTGACTTCCTGGGAAACCACTTTCGATCACGGATGAGGCATCGGCAAGGTGCCCATGAATTATTATTGTTGAATGCCGACCCTGCCACCGGGCCCCTCTAGTTGCCGCTCTCCCCGACCGCTTTTTGTTACACACCCTTCCGTTTTTTGTCCCCCCCCCCCCCCCCCCCGCAACTCTGAGCACCTCACATTGCCAGACGTGGCCCTTGTTTTCACTCTGCCACCCATCTTTCGAAGACCGGTCGGCCATCTCCTTTGTTTTTGATCGCTGATAGTGGTACTGTCGCTGACGTCACCGGCCTGGAATGGAGTGAACAGATTATTTGCCAGCGTCGTCTGTATATGATCGTCTGCGTCTTGTCTTATCGTATTGTTCCAGTGCACGCGCGACTTACGCTATGCTATCCATTCTGATAATTCGCAATTCTTTTTGTATTTAGGACCTGTTCTCGTTCTATTCGCACTCGGCTCAGCATGCCCTCCGCACACGTGCGAAAGCATAAAAACAGCTGTTAATTTGCGCGGAACGAATCGCGAAATATCGAAGTCGGTGGAACACATGAACCCGCCGGCGCAACAAAATGATTCTTTGACTACGGCCGCCGATTTTTTAAACAACACCTCGCGTGCCGATCCAGGCGGCCGTGCTTAGACCCCTGCTCGTGCATTCTATGCGCGAGTTGCACGTTTCGCAAACCTTTCAAGCAAGCTGTTCGAACTGCCTCCTTCCCGCGTGTTTTGGTTTTCAAGGTCACCTCCCTGCTGTATCCTCCCGTCTCTTCACTCTATCCTTGCCCCTCTCCTTGCCCTTCTCTCGCAAATCGGAAGGCGCTGAGCCGTGCTCCCGCAAGGGCTGCAGAAGATAGTGCTTTTTTCCTTTCTTCCAACCACACATTCTCGCAAATCGGCTCTCCTCTCGACACATCTCCTTCGCCAGTCTCCACCGCTCCACGACACCAGCCACACAGACTAGAATTCAGAAGTTTTGTTTTCTGACTAGAAACGGGCCCACCAGATCTGTACCACACGTTTGGTTCGGCGTGTGCATTGCATGTACGCGTCTTCCTCGCTCTTGGTGTGCGTGTGTGTGGTCAGGATGGCGGACGGGAGGCCTTGCATGCTTTTTCCTGCTGCTCAACAAAATGTCGATGAAAGTGTGACCGCTTGGCTTGGGTGTAATCTGCGCAGTTAGGTGCCGCATTGCGGAGCGCTTGCTCATAGCTGTTGTTCACTTGGTAGCCAACTTGCCGCTTTGGGCGTCCTGGTATTCAGCTGTGGAAGTGGTGAATGTTTCGTAGGCGACGGTGATGGCTACATGCGCGCGAAACTGTTTTCACTGAGGCTGACTTCAACGACGTCGGGCCCAATGCCGAGCCTGAAGCTTCCGAACAGAACAACAGCGGTGGCAATTTGTGGCAGCGCGTCGTTGACTTCGACCTGGGAGCGTGGGTGGGACATCTGTTGTGATGGTTTAATTACAGCTGATGAGGATGCCGACACTGCAGAACCGTGCACGGATTAGGGCATTGTGAATTCGGTAAGTGGTAAGAACTATTTGGAGGAATCAAATAGCGAGAACGACGAAACTTTGGAGCCAGTGCTTCATGCAGTTTATGCCATTGCCTCAACGAAGAGTCCGCTGCCGTTGAAAACAAACTCTAGACTGCCCTTATCGCTTCTGCTCTTCGAAGCTCGAGCATATTTTTGGCCGGAAAATTTTGTGTTTTTTAAAAGCTGTGCTCATTTACTACAAACTTCAGGATACACCGAACGGATGCTGCGTCAGGCTCAGGTTCGTTTTAGGCGGGCTCGATTGTATCTTGTGTATGTAGTCCATCCAAAACAACCTTAAAATTCGCCTCATCGCGAAACTCGCACCAACCGTAATCTTATCACCGAGATTCCACTGTACACCTATTCAGGGGAAATCTGGATTGCTGCAAAGCCTCACTTCAAAGTTAAATGAACATATCGCTCTTACATTAAATAACCTTTTGGGCTTTTAAATGTTGGGTATTCGGGCAAATATAGTCTAAGAACAGTAAATTTTAAAACGTAACAGTGTTTCACAGGGCATCTCTTGCATACTACAGAAAGTCAAATTCCCATACTAGTGAATGTTACTTCCATTTTCCTCTGAACCAAGAATAGTGACAGCTGGACATTCTTTGCTTCAACTAAAGAAAATATTGCGCAGTTCAATTGGGTCATGGCAAGTATGCTCATTTCAGATGTGAAGCAGCTTAAGGCCGAGATCGATCCGGTGTGTGGTGTGACCACCCTTACAGTGCATGCGCATCCGCTCCAGTCTCTTGCCTCGCAATGTCAATGCAGTAAGTGTCTGCTAGCGAGTCTCTTGATTGAAAAAAGAGACTGCTCACGCTGCACGATCGTTCACTGGCCACCGCGTAAATATTAGCCATTGAATCTTGACTTCCAAGGTAGTGCCAGTGGGAGATTTCTCCTGTGCGTTGAACAATGAAAATCCGCAGCGTGCACATTAGCTAAAAGCGGACTGAGGGTCTCTGGGTCCAATTGGAGTCTTCTGTATCTCACTGCCTATTAGCATCAATTGGAATGTTCTAGTAGGAAACACTGGACCCATCTCTGCGTGATTTGCGCCTCCTTAAGTTTCTCTCCTGCACAACGCCGTGGTGAGCGTTAATGTCCTCGTCAGTGTAAGTGATAGTGCCCACAGCTTCTCATATACCAATGCTACCCTTTAGCGCGAGATGGCGTAATTTTTTTTTTATGATATGTGATGTACACAACTCAAACCTGATTAAAAATTATTCAACAAAATCGCTTTTCGCTTTGTGCCTAAGATTAATTACTCGTGTCAAAAAGAAATGTTCTATGCTGCCAGTATCTGAACTGCAGTGTGCCTGAAAAGTTCAACAGGTAACCTCCTACAACAGGGATGCACCGGGCAAACAACACCCTTTTTGTATCGTCGCAGCTCCCAAGTCACAGGATGCCTCAACATGTATTGAAGGAAGTGTGACACAAATGGACCTTAAGGTGCCCGTACAATGATTATCAAGATAAATGGTCCAAACAGGAACGTTCTCTCGGGTATAAAATAAAAAAAAAGAAAGACCCTGCTTTTAAATTGTTTGCACCACATCAATGTGAAGAATACATTTTCCAACCAAGTTAGCACTGCTCATTCATGTCCCTTTAACATAGCAGACCAACCAGTCGATCAAGCAATCAAACAGATGACCGATCATAGCAGACCAATTGATCAAACCATTAACACATGACAGTCTTTTTTTACACCACATCAAAATGAAGAATACATTTTCTAACCAATTTAGCACTCCTCGCTCATGTCCCAGTAACATAGCAGATCAATCGGTCGATCAAGCAATCAAACAGATCAACTGATCAGAGCAGACCAACTGATCAAATCATTAACACATGACAGTCTTAACAGAATCAACTGTGGCTCAATAACAGAAACTGAGTTCATTTTGCAAGCCTCACACATGAGGTCCATCATAGTAATGTGCTACCTCTCTGATAACACAAGTGATTCAACTAAGTTATACAGATGCTATTGCCACAACTGTCACTTGGCATATGGGGTCAGACAACAGGCACACACTGGCACTGCACAGCAGCACATCACAATGAGACAGCTGCGAGCTTGTTCGTGTCATGGCGATGGTGTTCAGAACACAGTTTACGTCGAGTGTTCCACTTGCAAGATCTCTGGAGTGATGGAGAGCGTTGTGGCAGACTCTGAACAAGAACAGTCATCCACCCCCGACGAGGAGAGGTTCGCACCACTGTTTTTGTTTGAACGATGATTTTCAATTAGAAAAAGTGCCAGCTGTGATAGCGCGTGGCTCTGTTCCTCCGCAGCCTGTGCCTGTCGCTCAGCCGCCTGAGCGATCCGCTGCTGGGCACTCAGCATGTCCTGTAGCAGTGCTGTTTGCTGCGATGGGCACAAATAAATTTAGACAATGCTGTTAAATTAACTGAACAAAAGGTACCTCCCTCCCACCCCAAAAAAAGGAAACCATACTACTGGCACCCTTAAGAATTCATTTTCACAGGCGTGTGCGAATATTAAAATTCTTTAAATGTTTGAATATTTCGATGAATAACACAGTATTCAAATTCTCTTGAGTTTGAATTTGAAATATTGGAAATTTCAAAGTATTCGAAGTCAATGAAAAACTGCATAGTAATCTGCATAAAATCCTCTGTAAAGATGGTTTCACTGTACTAGAGGGGTGCTAAGCTATGAAAACAGTTGTCTAAAGAAAATCTGTATTGCCGTGAAGCCCTACTTCAAGGTCAACTGAACATATTCTCACATTGGCTCATCATTTCTTAAATTTAAAATTTTTTTACAGTAGCGTATATGCTCCAAGTATAGTAAATTAGTGAATTTTAAAATGTAGCGTGTCTTTCAGGTGGTCTTCACTACTGAAAGTCACATCCTGCTACCAGTGGCGTAGCGAAGGGGGGGGGGGGGGGGTTCAACTTCCCTCCCAAAACTTTTTGCGCAACAACCCCCCCCCCCCCCTCTCGCTTATTAACCTTTTTTTTGTTGCTTCACATTGACATGCTTTAGAAACTAAGCGGTGCTACTATCACAAATCCTTCCTGGGCGCTTTTACAGAAAAAAACGTCTACTTACGGCAAGTACTGCTGACTGGGCGAGCCGTGCATGATAAAATGATATTGCTTTGGTGCAGCTCGATGTGAACGTGAAGAAAATATGCTATACAGTCAAGAAGGGGGGAACACGCACACACACACACTGCTGCACTCACTCAGACACTCACACTGTTGCCTGTTTTTTTCCCCTTTTTGACTGTATAGCATCTTTTCTTTACGCTCAAACCGAGCTGCGCTAAAGCAATATCATTTTATCATTCTACATAGAGAAAAATGAGTCACGCTGTTTGTCAAGGCTTTGACACTCTGTGAGATTTCGGGCAGGAATCTTGGCTGCGAGCGTTTTAAGTTGGTTCGGCGATGGGATTATTGTTGCAGCAGTGGTCATATACTTGTACTGCCAGAACAGATCTCGCTGGAGTCGATTACTACGGTCATTTTCCGTAGGCAGAGGTTAGTTTTGATGGTAAAAACCAGACACAATTCGTCTGATAGGCCACGTTCAAGCATATTACAGTGTGACTCTTCATACGGGTGCTAACACATACTCAAGCCAGAGAATAACATTTCTATTGAACTTTCGCAGGTTCTGCTAACATCTATACACACATACACACATACAACATGCATGCACGTGAACATCCACCCACTTTTCACACACACATTCGCGCGCGTGACAGAATACTTGGCTTATCCAGCGAACTTGATTGATTGATATGTGGGGTTTAACGTCCCAAAACCACTTCATGATTATGAGAGACGCCGTAGTGGAGGGCTCCGGAAATTTCGACCACCTGGGGTTCTTTAACGTGCACCCAAATCTGAGCACACGGGCCTACAACATTTCCGCCTCCATCGGAAATGCAGCCGCCGCAGCCGGGATTCGAACCCGCGCCATGCGGGCCAGCAGCCGAGTACCTTAGCCACTAGACCACCGCGGCGGGGCTATCCAGCGAACTTAGCTAGTGTGAGAGTGTACAATATATTGATACATATCTTAACTATGCTCTAACTGCTAAAGGCACTCCAAAGTGTTGTCTAGTGAGAAGGTGCAACACAGGCAAACTTGCAGGTCAATCACAACCTTAGAAAGGCCTACAAGGTAAACTCATAATGTAACTCAGGCTGATAAAAAGAAAGATGATCATAAACTTGAAGTAGCATAATGAAAAATGTAGGGTGGCCAGTTGTTGTGAGCACTTTTATTGTCCAGCAGTGTGGCAAACACCGTAAGAATAAGAAACAAATATATGACAAATTAGAAGTATTTATATTAATTTGCTTCACCTAATTGTCCCTTTACATTGACATGATTGACAATTGATATGTGGGATCTAAAGTCCCAAAAGCACCATATGAGTACGAGAGACGTCGTAGTGGAGAGCTCCGAAAATTTCGACCCCCTGGGGTTTTTTACCAAGCACCCACAACCGAATTTGAGTACACGGGCCTACAGCATTTTTGCATCCATAAAAAATGCAGCCTTCGCAGCCGTGATTCGATCCCGTGAGCCTGCGGGTCAGCCGCCCAGTACCTTAGCCACTAGTAACCGCTGTGGAGCCTTCACATTGACATGACTGGAAGGGTCCGCCGAGCGATTTCAGTAACTACCAACATAAAGCACAACAAGATACGCACAAAACGATGAAACACGGTTGGACATAGACATAATATGTAAAATTAAGAACAATACTCATATATAGTAGCCATTATTTTTCAGAATAACTGAAATAAACTTTGTGCAAGCAATGTTTCACGCAGCAAACTGATGAATGACACATTAGAATACTGTTGATTATATTTTTCAACTGATACAAAGATTATTCTGCGCATTACATGTCATATTGTCACAGCAGCAAAGGACGATGCAGTTGTCTATAAGGAAAACAAGTTTATTGGAGCGAACTTGTGCTCCCCTAACAACTGAAAGAATGCACAGGCGGCGAAGCAGCGGTCGGCAAAACGACGTGCACGGTAGTGAGCGCCGGCGATCGAAATGTCGCGACATCGGCTGTGCGGGAATTTATATCCCTCGGCGCGAGGGTTTCTCGAATAGTCGAATTGTATCGAGAACACTTTAGAAGAACTGAGATTATGCTAGACGGTTCACGTTTGTTTGAAACGCTGTCCCTCAAGAGATAATACATGCCGCGCACAAAGAACAGAATACGTGCTCGACACACAGCCAACAGTGATAGCACAGGCCGGCGCAGCCAGGCCGAAAAAGCAAAACACAAATAAACAAATCCAATGCATGGTTCGCTGCATTACCCCCCCTCTAAGAGTGCATCGACCCGATGCTAACATAAGGGACAGTCCAAACAAATTAAAATAAAAGTTCGTCACTGTCTGCAGAAAGGTTTTAAGCGAACCACATGGACGACTTCGGGCCGCGTGCGTCGTCGTGATGTACGGGAGTCACCATCGGGGATCACTTCGTACGTTACTTCGCCAACACGTCGTAGAATCCGGTAGGGTCCGAAATAGCGTCGTAGAAGTTTCTCACTGAGTCCACAGTCGTCGAATGGGAGTCCAAACCCACACACGATCTCCAGGATGGTACTCGGCGTCTCGGCGTTGGAGATTGTAGCGTCCGGCATCCACCAGTTGCTGGTCCATTATACGAACTCGAGCGAGCTGGCGGGCCTCCTCCGCACGTTGGAGGTATCCTTGGACGTCGGCATTGAGGTCGTCGTCTTCTACGTGCAGGAAGCATGGCGTCGAGCATCGTAGTCGGCCGTCTTCCGTAGACGAGCTCGAACGGTGTCATCTGCGTGGTTTCTTGGATAGCCGTGTTGTACACAAACGTGACGTACGGGAGGACTTCGTCCCACGTCTTATGTTCAACGTCGACCGTACATAGACAGCATATCCGCGATTGTCTCATTCAGTCGTTCCGTTCGTTCGTTCGTTTGGGGGTGGTACACTGTCGTTCTTCGGTGATCTGTGTTGCTGTAGCATAAGATTCCTTGCATGAGCTCCGTAGTGAAGGCCGTTCCGCGGTCCGTGATTAGGACCTCAGGGGCTCCATGTCGCAGCACAACTTGGTTAATAAAGAACTTTGCAACTTTTTGTGCAGTTCTCCTCGGAAGAGCGGTGGTCTCTGCGTAGCGCGTCATGTAGTCTGTCGCTACGACAATCCATTTGTTCGCGGATCGGGATGTAGGGAACGGGCCCAGAAGGTCCATTCCGATCTGTTGGAAGGACCTCGTTGGGATGGCGATCGGCTGCAGAAGTCTGGCGGGTCTCATCGGTAGTGTTTTTCATCGCTGGCAGTCACGCCAGCTCCGGACGTAGTGGGTGACATCGGATGTAAGGCGGGGCCAGAAGTATTTCGCCTTGATTTTTGTAATCGTGCGAGCTGTTCCGAGATGTCCGTAAGACGGGTCGTCGTGGCACGCTTCCAAAATTCCGTCACGAAGGTCTGCGGGGATGACAAGTAGATAATTCGTTCTCGTTCCGGGGTTGGAATTCTTCTTCACTAGGATGGAGTTTTTGAGGCTGAACGCTGGTAAGTTGCACTTGAACGCCCTAGGCACAGAGACGTTGCGTCCTTCCAGGTAGTTGATCATGGCGCGGAGGTCAGGGTCGGCACGCTGCTGGGCGGCTAGGTCGCTCTCTGTCACGACTGCGAAGAACGCGCTGTCTTCATCGGAGTCCTGTGGTGGTGGGTCGACGGGGGCGCGGGACAGGCAGTCGGCATCGGAGTGTTTCCTGCCGGATTTGTAGACTATTGTAACGTCGAACTCTTGCAGGCGCAAGCTCCACCGCCCAAGACGGCCAGAGGGGCCCTTCAAATTGGCGAGCCAACACAGCGTATGATGGTCTGTCACAACCTTAAATGGTCTACCATAGACGTATGGGCGAAATTTTGAAATGGGAATTTTGAAAGTTCACAATGGCTGATGTTTTTACCGGGTCAGGTAGGACTCCCGCGGCGTTCACGACGTGACCCAAGAACTTGAGTTCCTCGTACGCGAAACGGCACTTCTCAGGCTTCAGCGTTAACCCCGATGTACGAATGGCCTCGAGTACAGATTCCAACCTTGTGAGGTGTTCGTCGAAAGTCCGGGCGAATACGACAACGTCGTCGAGATATACGAGGCAAGTGTGCCACTTCAGGCCTGCTAGCACAGTGTCCATGACTCTCTGAAACGTTGCGGGCGCTGTGCACAGCCCAAACGGCATCACCTTAAACTCGTATAGACCGTCCGCGGTTATAAATGCAGTCTTCTCTCGGTCTCTCTCGTCCACTTCAATTTGCCAGTAGCCGGTCTTCAGATCCATGGATGAGAAGTACTTGGCGTG